CCCTTTCCCCTTAGAATCCTACGTGCAACATGTCGACACCTCAGTTGGGGTCAGATTTCCACACCTGAAAGCCTTATAGATATTATAAATTTAAACGGGTGTGGAAACCTGACCGTGCTGTACCTGCCACGCAAAATGGACGTGTTAATCCGATCCGCTGTAGACCGCAAGTGTCATGTTGGAACAGAGTAAGAAGCGTAAACTTTAGGGTTCTTGAAGTATATCATCTAAAACAACCAAAAAGAGCACCAAAACGGGAAAGACTGCTGATAAAAGAAGAAACCCTGTACCCTGAGAACAGGCATACTGGCATACGGCATACTCACTATAGAGCTGCAGTTTAACAGTTTGGGGGAAGCCATTCCGCATACTCCCTCTTCGCCTGCAGATCGCTGCACCCACCCATCCCGTCTCGCAACGCCACTGTGCCCACGCCACGGCAGCTGCCGCGGCGCACCGGCCCGTCGTGGCCGTCCGTCCATGGCGTGAGTCGGTCGTCCACTGAAGAGTCCAAAGACGTGAACAACGAAGTTCAAGGGTCACACGGTGGCTGCCATTCGGCAAGGTTTGGGAAAAAAAGTGGGTTCAAGGGTAGCAGAAACCCGGGGAAAAGATGAGGTCAAAAGCACCATGTTGATCCATTCTGGTATCGAAACATGCGGTCTCACTCGCCGGGCACCCTTTCTAAGACAAGTTCCATTCCCAGCACCCCAAGGATACATGTTCAGGGGGGTCTACAAGCCACCACCAGGTCCTAAGTACCTCCAAGTCTAAGTACCTCCAGGTCCTTTGAGGCATCTCCCTAGTTTGAGACATACCCACATGCATGGCACTGGCTGAGGTGATGTGTTGGTCAAAAGCTTTCTTGAGCCTGGCAAGCATTCTGCAAATATACTGGACTGGAGAAAGTTGGACGGATTCTTATCACGGTCTGTTCTGAGAAGAAATGACGACAAGGATCAACAAGGAATCTGAAGGAATCTGATACAATTCAAATGATGATCGCAGGACCCGTACGCACCACTGCGCATCGGTTGGGTGTGAGCACAGTGGCTGACTGAGTGGCTGCGCAAGGTGCGATTCGATCCCGCCGGTTCGTGCGGACGGAATGATAACACATCTCACAAACAGAGAGCACCAATGTATTGCTTCTGATTAGTTATAAACCCATGCATACTATATATATATTCTTATAATCTTAAAAAATGTGGTTGAAAAGATAAAGAGGTGTTGTACAATCGATCCAAATGCGGGGGTGGTTTTAGCCATCAACCGTCTACATGCATGGTCCATCAACGTTCTGTTCTACTCAATCGACGGTGACCTGCGGGTCACGGTGTCGACCGGACCTTGCTTTCAGGCAGGTTCGACACGTTCGACCGAAAAGCAGGACCCGACTCTACGGGGTGTCTACTGAAGAACCTCGGTCAGAGGTCAGAGGTTAAGAGGTGTTGCAAGGTTAACACTTTTTGGAAGGTCCTGGGGACTACCATTCTCCTCTTGAAATGGTGGTCAATCATGGTCGGTTGACCATGCACCATGACCCACAGCCACATGAGTTCACCCGGAACATTGACATCTGACCAGGTCAGTCTCCCGAGGCTCTCACCCTCCAGCCCATTTGCTCCAGGAGCTCAGCCTAAGTGGGGCGGAGCTCAGCCTACGTGGAGCTCGGTCCCCTTGGAGGTCGCATCGTGCGTTTTACGCGAGGTCTGGAGGCAAGATCAGCTCCAAACGATGACACGGTCTGGCCCCAAATCCGGAACTCATCGATCACACTCCACTTGGGGACATCTCTTCTTTGGGGGGGGCTCCGGCCTCCCTTCGAAAAAGGCACGACGCTGATGATTCTGTTCGATGTTGAGTGTTGGGGCGACCAATTTTGAGGACGTGTCACATGACAGGTGCTGAAAAGAACCTCCATCTTTTTGATGGTTATAAAAATGGTTGGTGGCTTTTTCGCCAGGTCAGCACAATTCGGCACCGACGCGTCCCTTCAAGCGCGCAGCGCAGATCGACGTGGAGCTGCCCATGGCCCTGCCGCAGGGCAAAGGTGGTGGGGGAACACTGCCATGCAAAAACAAACAAGAACTGCAGGTGGCAGATGAAAATGCAGAGTCAAAAGCTGACTCTAGCCTCTCAGTTGAGTCATCTACCAGCTACAAAAAAAACAACGAAATCCTGGCAGGTCATCATCTCTGGTCTCTGGTGCTTGTCCTGACCTTTTGGATGTCCTGACCTTTTCCTCGCTCTGCATAGGTTTCCCCCCTCACCGCGCACACCACAGAGCCAACGAAGGGCCGGTCACCTGGCGATTCACGGTGCGAAGGGAGGGCGACGAAGCACCACCGACTCAGACTGGAAGGATGAAACGGGTGACAAAAAAAGAAACGAAATTAAACGAACTGAAACGAAACTTCAGGATCACCGTTGCTCACTTAAGGATGAAAGTCAGAACATCTCGATGATTTCTCCAGTTTTTTTTGCGTTGAAAACCGTGACTTGCAAGCCGTTTCAGCCAATTCCGCATCTCTTTTTTCGAGATGAAGGACCGCAACTTGGGGTACCGAACGAAACTCCGGCATGATGGATTCCTGCGCCGCACGCTGCATGGACCAACCTTCTTGGGAGATCCGCCGATGAAAGCGCTCCAGCTCCCCCGTTCGGTCTTTCAAAGCCAAAATGATTTCTGTCTTGGGATCAGACAGAGCATCCAGGAGGCCAATCAAGGTTTCATCTGCTGGTGGTGCCAAGGCATTGGAATCCACACATTTCTTGCCTGCATTGCCCGGATAGACCAAGTCACTGCCCAAAATCACGTCCCAAGGACCTTTCGCTCGGAACTGGGCCAAGTCGTTAGCAGAATTCCAATCAAAGACCTCCAACGAAACCATGGAGGACCTGAGATTTGCCGATGGGTGACCTGGAAAGGAAAAGAAAATCATTAAAAAACACAAACAACATATTCCTCTGACCCCTTCAGTGTTCCTCGAAAGTAAAGGAGGTTCGTCATTTCTGGCCAAACCCATCCCTGGGTAGCTCCCTGGATGTCCTTTCAATGAAATGAATAGGTGAAAATCTATGAACATCCCGAAATGGAACGAGGTCACAAGGTCTCAAAGTCAACGAAAACCTCCTCGTTTCGCGTCACGACCTAGGAACGACTGGCCCAGCGCTCCCTGGACGTTCACATTCGCCCCCTCTAAGACTCGAGGATTTCCATCCGTCGCGCAGACGAGAGCACCTTCCAGGGCCAAAGCGATGGCCACCAGTCCGGTGCCCGCGCCCAGCTCTAAGACCTTCTTCCTCGGAAAAGGTCCGAACTGGCAATGACATAAGTCCAAAAGGAGGTAGAAATGGGTAAAATAAGTCCATTGGACTTCCATTGGGTCCTTTCCCCCCCAACTTGAGCAAACTCACAGACCATCTCAGTCCGGTCCGTGGAACACGGTCCGTTCCAGCGAGTAGTGGCCTCGCGACTCGGACCGGGAAAGGTGGTTCGGACCTCCCTATATACCCTAGACTTCCGTTCGACCATTAAAAAAATGGGAACGACCTGGTTTTTGTAGTGTAAAATCCTTGGTTGATTAATGGTTGTTGGAAGCCTAGGCTGGGGGGCATCCACTACTCCAAAACATGCACCTTCTGAACAAATCCCATGCATCCCACGCCAGGAGTGTCGCTGAGCATTCCGCGCCACGTAATCCGCCAGAACGATTGCAGCCTCCCACAGGACGCCACCGGTGCCGATCCGCTCCTCCTCCCGCCGCTGGTGCTGCCGGATCACCACGTCGCGGCCGTTCAGGCGCACCGTGCGCGTGGGCAGGAGAACTGGAAGGTGTTTCGTCAAGGCGAAGGAGAAGGGCGTGACCTGCACGCTTGGAGGTCTGATTGGCCAGGAAGTGGCCGGTCTGTGCGGTGTGGCTGCATGGGCTAGGTTGGCTTGATGGACTATGCAGTCTCCCCAATGTTCGAATGGCAGAGATGCTCAATCACCCAACAAAAAAAATACGAAAAGTCTGCTTCGACATGTTTCAACTGACCAAGCAAACCTCGCTGTAAGGATTCGCCGGAGGTGGTGCGCCAACCAGAGCGGTCGCTTCCCCCTGCCATTCCGCTTCACAGAAGGGCTCTCCCAAGGCTCGGCGTTCCACTTCGGCGGCCCGGGCTGAAATTGCACCGCCCTCGTCCACTCGAAGTGAGAGCTCCAGTTGAACGAAGGATCGATAAGAGGGGATCGGTAGAGGTGCCAACTCCATCATGCCCAAGAAGCGATTCCCTTCGCAGAAGGGCCTCTCTCCGGCATAGAGCTCCACCCGGGCAGCCGCCTGGTCGTCTTGCGTCGTCGTCAGAAGCTTGGTCACCTCGGCTGGAAGACCGCTGCCGCGCTCCAACAGGCGCTCGCAAAGCCCGTCCGTGACCTTCACGTGGAGGGAGAGCTTCAACGTGGGCGGCGCCGGATCCGCCGAACGTGTCACGGGATCCGCCGCGTCGGCGTCGCTGGGCGGCGGAAGCAGGGCCAGCAACGGAGCCGAGGGTTCCTCCCAAACGCTTCTGGACGAGAAACCCGGCCAAGCAGGGGGGAGTGGAAAGGTGGAGAAAGCATACCTCTAGAATCTGAGAAGGCATTGCTTGCCATGTTTTGATGGGAAGTTCGTTTGGGGATCCCTTAATTATCTTATCATACTTCGACTCTCACCCTTCGTCACGACCTCAGTCCACCGGACCAAACCCGGTTCCCCTCCTCACCAGCCATCGTGCTAAGCGTCAGGGCGAGGACGAGCCATTGCATCGAGATGTTTCGGTCACTGTCGAAGGGGCGGTGTGGTCGCTTTCCAGAATTCCAAGCGCTGGATGGTTTGGGGAAGGTTGGATCCAAAGGAGAGAAGTGGTGGAGTGGAAGGTTCTGAGGAGTGGTGGAGGGTTCCGAGGAGTGGTGGAGTGGTGTCATACAGCAAGAACCAGACGAACTATCCAGGATCCACGTGGATTTTCCCACCGATCCCGTGGCAGCTCAGAGTGGGGCTTCTTCTTCAGGTGACCGATCTTATGACGGCTCTCACCACGCATTGAATATGAGGACCAAAGTTCTAACCGCATATACAAACCTCCAAGTTCTGCCGTGATGTGAATGCAGGCGTCATGCTGGCGTCATGGACTCGAAGTCCTGTGAGCTCCATTTCAGTGGGCCAGGTAGGTTGCTGCTTGCCTTTAAAGGGACAACAGTACATCATAGTACCATCGGGTCGCCTCTCGGGGCAACTGGGGTGGCCTCTCGTGGTCGCTACCCGAGCCGTTGCGAGTAACCCTGAGCACCAGCGCACGCCGGGACTCCCCAACGCTAGCCAGGCCACATCCTGGTGACGCGAAACATGCCAGGCACGCCCGAAGTCGAAGCGACCATCCTTCGACGTGTCATCGTTGTGGTCATCCCTGAAACAGCTTGCTCGTGATCTTCCATTTCCTCAACGCGACCATCACCAAAGTCGCTCAGCCAAGTCTGTGCCGACGGAGTTCGAGACAAGACACCCTCCGGTCTTCATCAAGTGGAAGGCATCATGAAAGTTCAGTCTGCCCATATAACCTGCCACAGTCGAAACAACGGGTTCGGGTCCCACTGTCCTCAATCAAGCCAACATGACAACTGATCATCCCTGGAAGGGCAACTGGTGACAACGAAATCTAACCTGGCCTGACTCTGAAATCCTCGCTGTCGCAACATCCCCAAAGATCTCGATCGACATGATTTCTGCTGTGTACTTCCAACCTGACAACTCCAAGTTTTGCCATTTGCTGAGATGTCACTGTCGCAAAAGTGTCCCCTCCTCCAGTGCCCTACTCTGGGAAGAGGTGGTTAATGGAGACCCCTTTTGCCCTCTGAGGGGCTATTTGCAGACACCCCTTTGCCCGGAAGAAGCGGCGGCTCGCCGCGTCCGGGTCTGCCGAGTCGGGTGATCATCTCGCCCAGCAACTGCCCAGTCGACGGCCCAGCATCTATCCATATCCGAACACCCCGGATAGATGATCGTCTGCTGGGTCAGATGTCCCCTGGAAGTGCCGAACCTCCGGATCTCAGTGGCGGATCATCCGTCGGCGTCGGCCCGGCCGATCGATCCTTCGTCCCCCAAAAAGGCCTCTGGACTGATGCGACTCCTGCAGCGTGGTCCGAAGCAGAAGCAGCTTGCGTGTCGTTGGGCAACGAGGGGGAGGGGGGGGGCGGACCGGTTCTCAACAGGGAGATGGGAAGCTCTGGATGGGCCGATCTATACTACACTAAGAAAGGAATGTGTCCTTGTGTCTCGATCTACATGATCTACACTAGAATGTGTTCAACACCTGTGTTTGGTCTCTGCTTTCCCCATCGACTGCGGGTCTTTGATGCCTTGGAGGCAACGGCCGCACGAGACAGCCTCATGCCACCGGAGCTATCGGAGCGCACCGGTTTTCTAAGAGGATGAACGCCAAACCAACCATAAACGCATAAGGCCGCGCAAAACATCATCTACCCCTGGCCTTTCTGATGTTTGTTTCAAGTGGCTGACCTGGTTTCGTCGTCTAAAACGTTAAGTAAAACTAATGATACTAATTACTAATGGTTGTTTGAGGTCCTTATATAAGTCATTGGTGTTTGGAATGGAACCTTAAGGCTACCTTCAATTGGCCCGGACCGTCGAACAGCCTCCGACCTCACCGGCTAAGCCATAAGCGCTGTGATCGACTCACCGGTCGCACGCAGTCGGACGCGGTCGCCTTCTGCTGCTCCATCTGGCGAAAGAAGGGCTCCACATCGCCAGCCACTTCTTTCCCGTTGAGAAGGCCACACATCACAGCCTTCGTCAGAACGGCGCAGTTTTGTGGAAATTCCAAGCAGGACACACCTTGCAAGGTTGCAATACCCTGTTGCAACAGCCCGGCTTACCACCATTGGTGTCACCGTGTCACCGGTTTTTGTCAACATACTGAGCGTTTCATTCGGACAAGGAAGCGTCTGCGAAGATCCGTCAAAGTTTGCATCTGCAGGGCTGCTTCCTCTGATGGTGGTAGCACTGCAGCTAGCTACCCAGCCACTCACTTACAAACTAAACACCACCCCTTTTTTGACTCATTTCTCATGTTCTTCTTCCACAAAACTGAGCGTTTCACTTTCTCATGGAAGATCTCTTTCAGCACCTTTACGTCGCAAGCTTCTGTGCCAGCAATGTACTTCTCCAAGACCTCGGAAGTTCCCATCCGGGGTTGGGCCAGGCCACATGCCCGGGGGTTGGCTTTGTCTTGGGGTGGCGGATGTTGTGCAATTCATAAGGGATTTGTGATGGACGTGTGATTCATAAAGGACGAGCTTTCTGATGGATGAAAAACTGAAAAACCTTTCTTAATTTTTGGGGGGAGGAATTCGACGGATTCATCAGTGGAGGGTCACCGGTCACCCTCTTTTCTCGCCCGGTCTCCTGGCGTCCGAAACCCGTGCCTCTCGAACGCCCGAAGGATCCTCGCCTAGCGGAACGGACGAAGTCTCTGAAAAGCCCAGCTAGTACAGCTCCCTTTTCCGAGAAAAGCTTTACAGCCCAAGAATGTCTTTAAAAAGTAATATAACAAAAGAAACTCTAATCTTAAGGACTCTTAAAAAAACAAAAAGATGGAACCCACGAACCCGAATGCGAACACGTTCCATATGCCCAAATGACACTCTTGTAGGACACTCTTGTGGGACACTCTTCTGGGACACTCTTGTGGGACACTCTTGTGGGACACTCTTGTAGGAAACTCTTGTGGGATACTCTTGTGGGACACTCTTGTAGGACACTCTCGTGGGACACTCTTGTAGGACACTCTTGTGGGACACTCTTGTGGGACACTCTTGTGGGACACTCTCGTAGGAAACTCTTTTGGGATACTCCTGTAGGACACTCTTGCGGGACACTCTTCTGGGACACTCTTGTGGGACACTGTTGCGGGACACTCTTGTGGGACACTCTTGTGGGACACTCTTGTGGGACACTCTTGTAGGACACTCTTGTGGGACACTCTTGTAGGACACTCTTGTGGGACACTCTTGCGGGACACTCTTGTGGGACACTCTTGTAGGGCACTCTTGCGGGACACTCTTGTAGGACACTCTTGTGATCTCTTGTCGGACACTCTTATAGGACACTCTTGTGGGACTCTTAAGGGACACTCTTGTGAGACTCTTGTGGGACACCCATACGGGACACTCTTGTGGGACACTCTATCTGGGACAGTCTTGTAGGACACACGCTTCGAGGCTGCAAGACGAGCGTTTCGTACGAGACTTCCTCCAAAAGTCACACGTCAAGTCTCCAAAACGAGCGTTTCGCACAAGACTTCCTCCAAATATCACACGTCAAGTCTCCAAAACGAGCGTTTCGTACGAGACTTCCTCCAAAAATCACACGTCAAGTCTCCAAAACGAGCGTTTCGTACGAGACTTCCTCCAAAAGTCACATGTCAAAGTCTGCAAAACGAGCGTTTCGTACGAGACTTCCTCCAAAAGTCAAGCGGAAACACCCATCGGAGCACACACACACACATCACGCAGCCCTGCCAAGCAGTTTCGCGATTCCAGCCCCTCCAAACAACACCCGCTCACACGCCAATCCCAAAGTGACAGCGACATTCACCTCTACCACAACTCACAACCTCACGATTCCCTGCGCCTGCCACGAATCTTTCCGCGTCCACACGTCTAACGCGCACAAAGCACTGCGCTTGCCACGAAATGTCACCTCCGTCACACCTCGCAACCTCACGATTCCCTGCGCCTGCCACAAGAATCGCACTTCCACGCCTCAAAGCCCGCACAAAGTACTGCGCCTGCCACGAAAAGTGACAATATCATCTCATGTGAGCTTCAACAAATTTGCACTACACCACACGTTTGGAATGGCTTCGACCCGTGCTGAGCACACTCCCATCCACCAAAATCACCATTTCACCTGAGACTTGTCACGAAAACAGAGCTTCGATGCCACACCCTGAAATGCAAATCCCAATGGCACGGCCACATCCAACACCCCAAAAACACGCCTCTCCTAACGCTTATCCCAATGGAACTGCGCAGCAAACTGCGGATCTCACAAACCACTGCGCCTGTGCAGCGAAATGCATCACGTTTCTTGCGCGACATGTCATTTTCAAGCAAATCACAATGTAATAGCGGCGCAAACACACGTGACACATCCATGAAAAGTCACCTGCAAAAGCTTCCCCCAATGGCAGCGCCTTAGCGCTCTACTGCGGACGGTTGCGGACGGTTGCGGACGTAGAAACAACGGGTCGCGAACAAGGCTCTACCCCCAGACCCCCAGAGTTAAACGAGAACCCTTCGCTACGCATTCGGGAAAAAGAAAGGAAAGAGTCTTGAGCCTTCTGAAGAATTTCCTTTAAAACAAGAAAATCTCCACACGTTGCTCCACTCGGTGCCTGACTCACGGCGCACGGCTGCAGCTGCCGATGCAGGACGCGCCAACGGCCAGTCGCAGTGGCGCCAGTCGCGCCTGGGTGTTGACCGCGGACGGCCAGGAAGTGAATGCGGTCAAAGACCGCGGACGGCTGTGGAGCCATGCCCTTCTAGCAAACCATGGAAATGGAAACGTGGGAGTGCTTAGAATCCTTTCTAACCTGTTGGGTACGGGACCAGCTTAGAATCCTTATTGCTGCATACAGCATGCTTTTTTCGGGGTAGCATGTCTGTCACTTGTGGTCTCGGACCGCTTGTTAGCACTGTGACCTGCAACTGGAATAGAAGTCCTCAACCTAGAAGCTACTAGTAACAAGGTGCCACGCTAGTAGTAGCAGGTGCCTTACAACAAGAAGCTATTAGAAACAAGTGCATCGCTAGTAGTAACAAGTGCCTTACTAGTAGTAACAAGAAGCTACTTAATTTAATTTTCCTTTCTGATCCTTCTTTGGACTTTGCATGGGACGTGTTCCCTGTGAAGCGAACACACCGACCGGGTACAAGTGTGTCGTGTGTCCACCGACCGGGTGCCTCAGTCCTTGAGGAAACCGAGTTGATGATGTGAATCTCAGCCGAAACACTAAGTGATCTCCAAGATGAGACAGGTCCAGGTGATGGTGACCGGTGCAGAGTGCAACCATCTAAGTGTGCTCCATGTATTTGTTCTGTGTTTTTTCTGCCAACACTTCGACCCAGTGGAAACGTGTTGGGACAAGGAGCGCAGTCGATCTGGAAGCATCTTGCAAAGGAAATTCACAGCATCTTGCGGCTCACTGTTCTATATATAGTGCTACGGAATCCTGCAGCGATGCGCCTTGAATGTGAGACACTCACATCACTTCATGTCATTCTCTCGTGATCAAAAAAATATGTTTTGGCTTGGGCTCTCGAACCACACTGCTGCTTACTCATGACTTGTCACTGTCCCTGCTTTGAGCCGGGTGTTCTTGTCCAGTGTCCGGCGGTGTTTTTGCTGTCATCTGCTACTTCAGGCCATCCGTTTCTACATGTTCTGCGGAATCGCCCCAACCCTGTGACCCGATGGATGTGGCGGATGGACCGACCTCGAGACCGACCTAGAGTCTACGTGTCACTTGTAACTTTTCCCAGTCATTTTCGCGGTCTGCCCAGCCGGGTCTCAAGAACTCGATCGTACACCCGGAACCAGAGAGGGCCGTCGGGTCTCGCCTCGGACGGACGGACGGTGTTGCCACGTCGAGCGTTCATCGCCCACGGTCGATGCCGATGCCAAGGACGGTCGAGCCTGGACGTTCGTCGGTGAAAACTCACCTGGCGGTGCTGGCGTGAATCAATGGTAGAACAGGTGGTCCACCCAGAGGCGCCGTCTGGGTGACCGAAGTTTTGTTCACCCATACGAGAGAGACAACCTAAGAGCGATGGCCTCCAACCTGGAGGGGGTCTGGACCCGAACCAATCCCTAAAAGGTTGAGGGATTGGGAAAGGTCTGTTAATTTGGTGTGTCTGGGCGGTGAAGATGAAGATCAGGCGATCCTTTTTGGCTTGCGCTGAATGGCAGTCGTCAAATGAAGTGAATAGATGTTGTCTGGATGTTGTGGACCCATCATTATCTATTCAATTGTTTCCCCCAGGCCAGGAACGGGTGTCACGGCGGCAGCGAAAGATTCAGCAACGGGTTGTCGATAGTTCCCCAAAATGTTTAGAAGGGGCAACTGCCTTTCAACCAGGCTTCGCAGGTTTTAGAATCGCACCTGCCATCATCTACCAGGACTGTCCAAAGTTCGCTGGTCACGTCGGGTGCTTGGGAAACAGGTGGTTGACACGTTCTCTCAGCCATCACGGTCCGGCGGGAATAAATTCCCGATCTTTACCAAGTCATCCTTCGCCCTGCCCAAAACCCACGCTCGCGGACCAGCGCGACGTGGGAAGCCTGACGTCAGGCCCCGCAGTGCGAGGAGCACAGCATTGCTTCGCCATGGCACGAGGGCCAAGGCAAAGTTCGTATGGCCAAAACGGTTTCTTCCGGCTGGATGGCACCTTCTTTGAGAAGTAAGTGATAAGCTGACTTTAAAGAAAGGTTTCACCTTCTAAACCAAGCACTCACTTGCGCCACTTTCGATTTTGAGAACTTGAACTCGAGTGTGGAAGATATCTTTAGTCATTCTTGGCTTGTGTCACTTTCATACAGTAGCTGCTTTGGTCGGTTCAGGGCATGTTTTTAAAACATTTTAAGACCCCACAGCAATGCTTCCATGTTTGAGCAGCTGAACTGAACGCCGATCCTCAAAACATCTAGAGAATCAACGTAAGTATGGGAGTTGTTTGCAACACAACAATGCTAAGAGACTTCGGAAGGCAAACTGCGATCTGTTTGAGAACCCTTCAAACAGTTCTTGCCACTTGGACATCTTGAGTTTTTTAGTCATGAAAGATCCCCGTTGATATTCAGGGTCAGGGGTCGGGGTCCGTATTTGGTAGAGAATTTATCTGCATATTGACAACGACCAACATCCCATCTCTACAAAGTGACCCTAAAAGTGTTGGATTCATTTTGTAGACAGGGACAAGGCCGATGGGGCAAATTGGAGGGCCCAAGGCCACTGATAGCTACAAAATGGTATGCACTGCAGAAAGTGGTGTCGGAATCATTGGCTGATTTTTAAAATGTTCTGATCATCCATGATGATTCTCTACAAAATGCAGGACCTCCGCCAGTGGAAGCATGAGGCGAAAGTCGCAACATGGACGAGAGACAAAACAAAAGGCAACAATGTCTTTGTATGAAAGAGACAGGTTCAACTTCATATGTTTGATAGTTTTTGATACATGATCGCACAAAATAGTCATTTGATTTTTCAATTTGGTGCTTGCAACTTCATTCATAAGTTATCCTTGCTAAGTTTCTTGCCCAAAACTGATTGCCTCCACAAGTGCATTTCTTTGTTGCCGCACGAATCGAACGCAACACCAACAACTGTGGACTCCTGGTCAGGTCCTGACTTATTGACAAACATAGAGCGTCTACATTCAGCTTCACGGCCACGAGCAATGTGACGTTCACAAAAAAATCAAGATCTAAATTGCCAAATTAGCGTTTGGCTAACCTGACACTCCACAAAAACATAGATTGCGAAGCACTAAATTCACATCTGAACGGTGCACATGTCACATAGGCTCCAAGAGAAGTCTTTCGTTTGTTTGACTCCTCAAAATGGAATGATCTCATTTGTCTCTTGACCTGATTTTTACCTTCGTTCCAATGATTTATATTTTTGTTAAAAGCATGCTTCCGAAAACAAGCACGAACAAAACTAACAAAAGCGATGCATACGATAACATGTCTTCAGTTTTGCAGGCCCGTGTTCTGAAGAAACTGAACCTCGCCCAAACAAGCCAACTGATTGTCTGTCGCACATAGGTCCCTAGAAGTCCAGCTTGACATATTTGCCCCACTGATGTCAAGAACGATCACCTCTTTTTCAGTGTCAAATCGTCGGCTGTCCAGGTCGATCTTCAGCTTCACTCTTCTGGGTAGTACCAGTGGTTGCGCACACCGGTGGGCACTGCAGGTTCCTCAGCACGGACCGGGCGAAGGAACGGCGCGGATCCGGACGCACGGATCGGAACGCCCGCTGGCGGAGACGGTCCCTCCATGTTGAACGGATTAAGTGGGTGTGTATTGGACTACCCTAAGGATCCGGACCCTCAAAAGCAAGCTGTTTGAGGGTACAACCAAAATGGGCTTGGAATTCGTGGGGTCCATCTGTGTTTTTCCTAAAGGTCAAGAGCTTAACTGGGGGCCCCTCTCGTTCAATACACGTTCCTGGCCCGACCGAAAGCTGTACCCTCTGGCTATCTCTGGCTCACGTTCCATGGAAGTGGATGGCACCCCCTGACAGGAAAGTAGACGTCCTTTCGGGAAAAAGAGTTTTCCGCGTAGCCATGGAACGTGAGGAACGAGTGTCACAGGTTCGGTCGACACCTCCGAGACACATCCGGTCGATAGCCTTTGTATGCATCGGTGCCGTAGGCCTCACGTGAGCGGAGTTCTCCACCACAGCGAGGTGACTCATGTATGTGGGGTTTTGGGGGGTAACATCAACATCCACTGCAAATGGAAATGTGTTTTTGTTGTTTTTGTATAAAATAATACTACTTAATCAATATACTAATATATATATATATACAGTATATGTGATTGATGGTTATTCCAGTTGTTTCCACCAAATGTCCAAACTGTTCAGCATCATCTACGCAAAACAGCGTCCTCTCAAAACACCTCAAGAGGCGCCACGTCTCGGAGCGCCACCCCGCACCGCACCCGCCTTCATCCATCGTGCACGCGGACCCCACCAGCCGCCCGCCAGGCTCACACCGTCGCGCAAGCGGATCCACCTCATCGGTTCGGGTCCGGTCGGGTCGCCGGTCGGGTCTGTTGGTCCGGTCGGGTCCGGTCGGAGCGGGTCGGGCCGGGTCGGGCGAGACGGAACCGCACGGAACCGCACCGGCGGCGTTGGACCGAGGGCGTTGGGTGCCGGTTGGGTTCTTTTCGGTGAAGTTAGACGGTTGGAAGGGCTGTCGGAAGGGCCCAGGCAGGTGTCTTTTGAAACAAAGGTTGCCCCAACACCAACATCCCCCCCGTCCGAGAAGATCCGACTTGGGTGTGGAGTTTCGAGGCCATGTTCCATGGTCAAAATGATTCCAAAATGTATTGGGTTGCTTGGGAGGGGTAGACGTCGTTACTCTGCAAAATCACATGTCATTGGTCATCGCTCAGAATTCATGAGGCAAAGAGCGGCTTGTGGTAGCTTGTGATGTATCCACAAACTGACCTTCTCATGTTTCTCTTTACCCCAGGCACTCCGGGACAACCAGCCCTTTCCCGGTCAATGGTCGTCCGCATCTGGCGCATGGGCGGCGCATGGGGAGGCCAACCTTCACCCAAACCCTTGGCCCTGGAGTCAGAGACGACAACAAAAGAAGAGTCTGACGGAGCTTCGAGACTTCAGTTGGTCCAAATAGACTTGGACTTCATCATCTTCATCCGGGTGGGGAGGTTCACATCCCTTAGTAAAGGGATCTGTTTCATGTTCACCGGTCAGGTACAGCCACAGCAGGGTGCCCCGGGCTTCTTCTCATCCGTGAACACGAGCTTGACCTCTGAGGCCTTCCAAAAGAGAAAAGGTTGTTCAATTCAATTGGGAGAGACATGATGCTAATTCATTTATTAAATCAAGAGTCGACATGATGTTGCTGCACTTGATTCGTCTGCTGGGATGCTAAACACTCACGACCTGAAAGGACGATCTGAAGGACCTTTCAATGAAGTCACACGCCACTCCTGTGTTGATTCACAGAAAATATCTACAGAAGTGTGTAGAGAGAAAGAGAGCGCGAGAGAGAGAGAGAGAGAGAATGTATAATGATATATACATATGTACACTGGCGGCAGTCATGTTCGGTGCAGTTATCTCCCTACTAGTGTGGCGCAGTCATGTGTGATCAAAAATACACTTGCGCACACAGACCTGTCCAAAGGAGCGCACAGCGTATGTCTCGCTATGCGCGCGGACGATGTGCCACGCACCGGTGGCGGGGGGTTTGGGCGGAGCTCGCCGGCGGCGGGCTGGGCGCCCAGGCCGCACCAACTGCTCCAGATGTGAAGGCTACGGAGGATACGGCTACGGAGGAGACCCCTTCGGCCTGAGGTGATCAGAGCTATGGTCGTTTCATCGACCAGGTCGGCCCGTGAGTCGGGTGCGCGACGGCGGCGCCTTGCGCTTGGCTTCGGTTCCACCGGTCACGTTGAAACGGGCCGTTCTCAGTTGGATGTTGGCAAGTAGAATGTGCGGTGATGAATAGATGCTGCGAATGGAATGGAAGACCATCCCTTTTGTGCCCCCGGGGCCGGGATCGTCCTCCAGACTTTCAGGTCGCGCGCACGGCGCACTTGTCACTTGCTATATATAAAGGTAAATCATCTTCCAATGTCATCTGTGGGTTGTGTACCAGATGTTTCCTTGCACTTTGTTGTTCTTCTCCTTGTCATCCCCCGGTTTCCCCCCTTCCTTCTCTTTTCGTCTCCATCAAAGTCTTCAAACAACATCGTTCAACTTGACTCCTAATCTAAACAAAATCTCCAGCATCCGCCTTGATACCAAACATATGATTAAAAGCTGGACACAGCCTCTCTCTACTCATGCCGGCTTAATCACTGGAAAACTGACAACCTTTAAGCCATCACTGAAACACCAGGCCCCCAGGCCTTGCCAATTTGTCCTCCATCCTTCTCTTTCCGCGCTTTCTTCGCGTCCGCATTACAGCTGAAGTGGACATAGGTGTGCCTCAGGGTGAGAGAGTCCACCAGATGTCCGTTGGACATAGGTCTGTCCCGTTGCTACGATGTTTCAAGACAACGTGCATGTCTGCCACACCATTTAATTGGACGATTCATGCATGAAACCTCTCATGTGGAGATTTGAACCATCATGGTATATGGTATTTCAACATCAACATTGCCCTTCAAGGACCTTTTCCAGGCAGATGGTTCTCCATTGAGAATCTATTCCTGGATGACCCCATGGCCACCATGGCAACCCGGGTGGATGCTGAGCGCCCACACTTGACCTCTTCATGAGGCATCTGATGTCCGACGATGACAGCCTGACGGATCCCCACATCAATGCGGCATAGAGGGACAAAGGGCTTTCTCAAGCAAAGGCCAAATGAGCGCCAGAACTGTCGCCCAAAAAATACAATTTTAAACACCACCCAGCACCATCTCGCTGGCTGATGTCCGCCTCACCACCGCACCTCTGGCTGGTACTCCTTTGTAGTGAAGTACTCCATGACCTCCTCTTCCGTGACTGCATCATCCTGCAGGCTGAACACCCTCCGGATCTAGCCAATCAAAGGAAGACAGGTTCATGGATCAATTCATCAGACCTGAAGAACTGGTGCTACTAGGGGTCAAAGGTTGAATTCCAACATATTCAGAACACCTGTCTGGCCATTCCCACATGGATCCATGATCTCCATCATCTCCATGATCTCGACCCCCGTGCTTTGGAGCGCCAAACAAGCAGACACCAGCTTTTTGATGCCTCATGTTTTTTGTGCAATCATTCTGGCCCACCACTGCCGTTGCTTTAAATGGTAATTACCAAACAATCGAGCTGTTCACTAAGGACTTGAGACTAGAATTACACGGGTGTATAGGAAAAAAAATCATAGTGGCACGACATGATGTCATCCTGGCATGACACCATACTTTCCACGAACGGAAACGATGCATACCACAAGGCACAATACATGCATCGATTTGTCGGACACAATATGAGCGGATATCGTCCCTAGCATGACATGATGTCATCCCTGGCATGACATGAAAACTCTCCAAGCGGGCCACATGGATTTTAAGAGATTGCAATATTAGAAGCATATGCACAAGTGCACTCATGTGATTACACGTGTATAAAAACACTGGTGCCAAGAGACTTGTGTAGAATAACACTCATGTATTACAACTGGTGTTAATACTCTCGTGTTGATGCACGTGTCTTGCGACATGCTCTTATGTTCAGACTCTTGATTCTTGACATTCATGTTCCTACTCTTATGTTGGCACCCTTATGTTAACACTCTCGCGTTGAGATTCTTCGCTGTCAATTATTTCCCTTTACGTCCAAACTCTTATGTGCCAATAGACTCTCGCATCTATTATGTTAATTACTCTCGCGGTGACGTTCTCGTGTTGATACACCGGTGTATGTCTAGCGTCAAGAGACCGTGTGTAAAAAGACATCTCATGTTTGAACCTGCCGTGAAGAAAACCCCTTCACGAACGGTTTCGGCGCCTTGGTTAGCGGGGTTGACGTGTGTAGCATATATTTTATAGTTACGTATTTGTATACCTATGTATAAACTTTGATGAATGTTGAAAACAAAAAACAGACATCAACATATATACACAATACATACAATATAAAGAAAGATATGATCATACACACCCGCGTTTATATGTTTTTAATCGCGTTTATATATATATACTATACACGATGTTTATACATGTGCATATATATGTATATATTACGTAAATGTTTCTACGTTTAGACTGCTCGCGAGGGTCACAGTTGCTTGCTGCACTCTTAGCTTCCCTCAGGCTGGCAAGGGCTTACAGAAGACAAGGCTTGATAATAAAAACTCGCATCCATGTTCATACTTTTCTGTTCCGACTCTTGTATTGATATTCTCGTGCTCAAGCTGGTTTCTGTCAATTACTCTTGTGGTGATTTTCTCGCGTTAATACACCGGTATATGTCCAACGTTAAGAGACCGCGCATAGTGCTTGAATCTGCCGTGCAGAAAATTACGAATGCTCAGTTACTCCCAAGCCGGTTAGCGGTGTTGACGTGCAAGTCCCTCCCCTTATCAGCTCTATGCCATACTCGATTACAGGCACTTATGTTAAGATCCTTCTGGTCAAAAATGAGCGCCAATTAAGGCTTGTCCATGCCCTATGAATGATCAAAATGAACGCGGTCAACTTTCCTGCTGCCTGACATGACCATAGGTGGGCTCTTGTATGTCTTCTTTTTTAGCATGTTTGATAGATCTAGTTTGCGACAGATGGGATGCAAAGCTGCTCTGCACAGAAAAACAACTATAGTATCTAGAAAGATCTAAACACATATAAAGCAAATGTGTACACATATATATATATAAGTACATATGTACATATACATAATATGTATTCTTCTGGCTTTCTCCTACTTCTTCTTCTTCTTCCTGCTCCTTTCTTATTTCTGCTTCGTCTTTTCCTGCTTGCTTGTCTTCGTCTTCTACTTCTATCTTCTTCCTTCTCTCCATGGATCACCTCTGGGAATGGGGCCCAACAACCAAACCATGTGATCCAAGGGCTTGGATCGTGTGTGGGTTTGGGTGCGTGATCTCACTTGTTCACCCCCCCAAATCACCGTCTGGACCTTCCGCTCAGCCTCTCCAAAAAGCGAACCAACTCTCTCCAAAAAAAAAATACAAAAACACATGATAGCATCGGAGACCGGTCTGGTGCTCGTCCTTTGGTCCGCGGTTGTCCCGTGAGGGCGTCGAAGACACCGGCGTCCGGTCGCCTCACCGTCGGGGAAGTTCAATTTCAAGGTATGGGACCAATCGGCCAAGGTCGCCTCCTGCGCTCGGCGGAACCGGTCGGACGGTCGCGACGGGTCGGCGAAAGAACCAGCCGTCGCGACCGAACCGAGGTCGCCACGACGGAATGGGATGTAGGTCACGGGTCAGCTTGGAAGCGATGTCGAGGATCCGAGTTTTTCCATGTGCTGAGGATCCTGGAGATCAGATTGGACTACCAGAGACCAGCCTATGTAGACCGTCACTGGAGGAACGGAAGACTGACCCCTTCCAAATGCGGAAAACCAGAACGAATGGAGACACCAAGCTAAATAAGCAGGACAGAACGGCTTTACCTCCAAAGTACTGTTTGGTTTCATGACATCTCTCCTGTTGTCATGTGCATGTGTAGGAGTGCAGGAAAGTAGAAACAAAGGTCCACCACACGTGTTGTTTTAAGTCTCTCCCCCTCATATAGAAAAGGATGCATGTAAAGTTGCTGATCCACTGCTGCCAGTGGAGTGGTACCTCAAAAACTCTCCAAATGGTAGCCAACTCTCCAAAATGATAACCACTCAGCTGACTGAAAGATGCGGCTTTCCGCGCGGCGTCACCGGAGCTTCGCTGCCCGCCCCCCGACCGCCAACCCCCAACGCCAGCCCCGCGCCGGGCAGAAGAAGAGCCGCTGGGCAAAGGCTGGCACATCGGTCGCCCACCTGTACTCCCGCCCCAACCCCGATCGCGTGACGGTACGGGGGTCGACGGACGGCGGGGTCGGTGAAACGACGGCCGGCGCTTCTCCAGGCGATTTCGGAGCGAGCGTGATTCGAAGTGTGACTCACAGGCTGGCAGAACTATGCTTTTCAGAACGAACCACAGAAGTGATGGCCGAATCTTTTTCTTGTGCGTCAGTGCTTCCACTGAAAAAACAAAAACAAATTCGACGCCCTGCCCGCCCTACCAGGTGGTCGAGAAAAAGGTGTTCTCAGCAAAACAAGGTGCAAATGGGCTGACTGTAGGTTTAAAAAATAACGGTGGGATTTTGCTTGGACCCTTTGCCAGAATTGCCCACATGGACGGGCTTGCGGAGTGACCTACTATGGCGACAGGCAGGCAGGAGGGTCACTTGCGCATCGCCCTATGGCGACCTACTGCTCGTGGTTCTGACGCGTGACATCATCCAACATCAAACCCCCCTTTTGGGCCACCAAGGATGCTGGAGGTTGGTTCTCTCTACCACACAACGTTCCATGTTGAGTCAAGAAGGAAACATGAAGAACTCAACTCCGAATCCCAAAAAAAAAACATTGAAACAAATGCCATGCACCCCCTGCACCCCAGCTACATATATACTGTATATGTATGTGTATACATATATATATATTATATATAAATATATACTGTATACCTTGAATGTTTCTTCTACTTCTGATATGTCTCACCATCCTCTGGCCCTCCGGCTTCTTGTAGCGCTCCTCCTGGAATTTGGGGTGACACCTCAGTCCGATGACAGTCCATTAAGATTCTGTGTGTATGGCATGTGGGTCTCAAACATGTGTTCCTCCTCAGGTGACCCAACTCAAGGAATTACGAGTACCTGGCTGGTGCCATGTAAAGTCGAACGGGACTTTTGTCTATATATAACTAATATATATATATATACATACATAAATAGCTAAATATTTATATATTGAAATATATTATATAGAGAATTCCATGACTTCTTCAATTCTTTCATGGGCATCGGGATATCGAGTCAAGATCGTTATGTTTCGACAAGTTTCGACCAGCTGTAGTGAAGGTGTTTTTGATGAAAGCTTCTCGCTTGTCCTCGGGGATTTCCAGCTAATGGCCCAGGCCGAGCTTAATGATCTGGGAGGTTGCATGTAATTGCCACTGGTCACCATCCATTTGGGGGTGCCATGCTTGTAGCTTGGCATGGCTAAAGACTCAGAAACCCCACCGATGCCAATCTGTGGCCGCGGCTTCTTGGGCAAGTTCCGTTTCCTCTGGCGGCGATTGCCACCTTCCATCGCCTCACACCGTCCGGTTCGCCGGTTCGCCGGCGAGTCCGGCACACGTCCACGGTGAGTTCGGTGCGGAACACCGGAGTCCGACAAGGAAAGCGTTTCGCTTCACCCTCTGACCGCCCAAACATAGACCCCTCCGACCAAAAAGGAGCGAAAAAACATAGACCACCATAGACCCCAAACAGCTTCAAAACGATTCGGCTTGGACCAACATGTGTCAAAAACGACTTCTTGGTACGTCCTAGTCCTACCTTCCCCAAGGGCAAACTGGCAAACTGCTTTATCAATGCTTTTTGTCGGCATCGACATCGCTAATTGTTCGGCCACAAGAGAAGGCAAGAGAAGAGCAGGACAAGAGAAGACAAGAGGAGGACAAGACCCGGTCACAGAGCCCGGCCACAGAGTTCAGGGGCGCGGCCAGTCAGTGTGGCCAGCTCTGAATTATAAGATAGAACCCCAACAGTAAACTGTTTGGAGAAAAATTTA